TACTTAAGACATATAGTTCTCTTTTTGTTTTTCTCTCCTGTATTCATCTAAGTTATTACTTTTTCTCTGCTTGTATGTCACAATGTGTCACAATAGTATGGAATAGTTTAGACTGAGAAACAAAAAAATGCATTGAGTGTATTTATGTATGTATGTATGTGTGTGTTTGTGTGTGTGTGTTGCATAATGTTTGCTGGGTGTCAGTGTGTATGGGTGTCAGTGATGCGCCAGAGAACTCAAGACACTGAGCTGACAGAGTATACCTGCAGTTCCTCTGATGCTTGACCACTGAATGTATGCAGTGGAGGAAGAAAGAAAATACACACATATTCAACCGAAAACATAGAGAAAAGGCCTGAAAACACAGATTTGAGTACATTGGAATCTGCACATTCCCCTCTCCATTTGTGACACTAATTTAAAGGAGGCTATACAGCTTGCAGGCCTACAGAGTAACCATGTTAGAAACAGTAGGCTTTCATTGGTCGAAAACATATATAATAAACTCTTCATGACACCGTTCTATTGTTAGTGCTATCAGTTAGCGAAGTGAATGCCAGTGTTTGTGGCACCCACTGGCCTGCCTCCCATCTGAGGTAAAGGTCACCTTTAATCACTCCCCAGCTGACCTCTTATTGTCATTTCATATCAACTTATATGCTTTGATTCTCTCCCGCTGAGGATATTTTGGATATCTTGTGTAACACTCGCCTACTCTTTTCAGTATACACAGTGTGAGTGACCCAGTGCTTACATACCTTACATATACACTGACCTACAAGAATAGCTCACTCATGTTTGGTTCATTCATATCAGAAGCATCAGTGTTATCTAATCACCTCCTGCTGACATTTCCACATTAGCACCAATGCATTTAGAGTAACTACCGTCATTATCACAAATGTAACCCAGTTTAGATTATCCCGCAGAATACACTCTCCACAGTAGAGTAATACTATAAATATGTTGCAGCAGCTTTTTAGTTCTAATTTACAGAAGTTAAATTACAAACTTAATTTCTGTCAACACCTGTGATAAACTTTGCCCTCCTTCGTCCTCTGTGCCATTCACTGCATAACAAAATGAAACCACGGAAGATGTGTGACTAAATATGCGTACACGCTGCAATTTACCTTTGTAATAGGCTCCTTAAACTGAAGAAATTAATCGATATTATTAAAAGCTCAATTGCTTATCTAAGGGTTGGAATTCTGATTTGTAAAGGAGAGGAATTATACATGACATCAATAACCATTAAAATGAATGATTGTCTTTCTCTTCCTCTCTTGTTTCATCATTCTATAAACCGTTTGTAGCCTGACCTTCAGTCCACAAACCGTTCTCTTATAGCATTAACACACTTGTACACCAGCAAATCCACACAGTCAGTTGCTACAGTATTTCCATATACAAATGTATGCGCACAGGGTTATGTGTTAACGCGACAAAGGAACCGCACAATAACATAATGAGTTTAGATGTAGTTCATTTCCCAGAAGCGAAAAGAGAATAACTCCCTCACATCACATTTTCAAGAGTTTAAAAGTTATTTAGTGACCTTTGCAATGTCCCTAACACTAGCAGTGTGAAAATTTAATTATTCTGAAAACTCACAGCGCCAACTTTACTTTGTAAAAGAAAAAATGTTTTTGTTGGTTGGATCACATTTGTTAGCAAAGTGGAACCCTCTGGTTCTTTTACTTAAATTATTGTAGCTCTCCATTACTTGCGCAGTTTGTTTAGTGTAAAATTCTTATCTCTTGCAGTTATCTAGGTTTTAAAACAGTTGTCCAAGAGGTCACTTCCAAGAGATAGTGACAACTGAAAGTTATGTGTGTACATTTTTTTCAACCCTTTTCAGCCCTGCTTTATTTCTCTGGTATTTCTCCCCTATCCCCCTGACTTCAAGTTCAATCCAAGGCATTATGTGAACAACACTGACACATTTATTCGTCGCCAGAATTCCTTGCCCTTCACTTTGGCAGGACTTTTACCTTCTTCACTCTCTAGCCCTTCATCCTTTTCTCCCTCCCTTCTCCTACTCATCCCTCTCTCCTCTCCCATGGTTGTTTCCAGACAGACCCACAGCCAATGTGCACCAGATGCCCCCCCAACTCCACCCCATCCCGCAGCCTGTCACTGCTCACTCCTCTGTTCGATACAGACAGATGGAATTGCTATCAGTACTCTCTCCCTGTCTCAGCCTCTGTCTCCCACACTCCATGCTGTCTATTTTGTCTTCCTCTTTCTTATCCCTTACCAAGTGAAAAATAAGTAGACAGAGAGAGAGAATGAGTGGAAAGAGAAAGAGAGAGAGAG